CAGGAAGAAACCTCCAGCAGAACCAGGCTCCAGTTCCTGATGAACACCCATGCACACATAGGAGCACATGTTTACCACATGCCTGAAGACTCCAGGCTGAAATTGCAACCCAGGGCCCTTTTGCTGAAGGACAATATTGCTAGCAACAGTACTAATATCCAAGATATGCAAAGGTGGATAATCCAGATCGTCTTGTTCAACAGGTCTTGGGCCCCCGTTAGTATGTGGAGCTGAGAATGCAACGATTGGAGCTAAACTCTTTACAGTCTCTAAACGTTCTGGGCCTGGATTATCCAACTATGCAAAAGTGTAAATGCAAGGATTTTTACAAATAAAGAACCAGTCAGTAAGTGGGACAGAGCTAGTGGCTGCAAGTGTATTTAACAGGTCATTATAAAGATATCTTTTAAAGACTGTCTTTGAAAATGTTCCTGAGGAATCTTAACTTTCTGTAGGTAAAGGTCTCCGGTTAGCAGATTTAAATATAAATATATACCTTTTGTTAGAATTATAGAGAGCAATTTACAAACGTCATATTCATAACATTATTCAATATCAAGGAAAATATTTTCTTTTCTATGGTATTTGGGTTTTTTTAGTCAAAACCAAAAGAGGTGAGAACATCGCACAAAAAAAAGCCTTATGATTAATGTGAAACAGGATGACGCGCAGTAAGTTGGAGTTTTTCTAAAATGTGATATGGCCTAATCAGATTCTGTAGAAGTGAGCTAGAAAAAAAGAAACAGATGATGAGAAGAGGCGTTGTGTTTTTAATTAGCTTTCTTTCTTTCAAAATCCATAGAAATAATAATACAATATGCATTTTTGTTGTTTGTTAATAAGCTATGATGCACATTTCACCATGAAGAATTTAACATTGTAGTAAAAACTACTCCAACAACCAAACTATGTGCAAATATATGTTTAAGATACCACAGCACATGAAAAGCCCCACTATGGAGGTTTCTAAGCATTATCTTAGAAGAAAAAAAAACTGTTTCCTGTAAGAGGAAACAAAACCCACAGAGGCTGCTTTTCAGCAGAGTAAATGGAAACACCAAATATTATGCTAAGGTGATAATTACACTGTGCAAAATATTATAAATACGGACAAATTTTAGCAGTAAAATTAATAAGTTGAAATTTGAAGTGAGGCTTTCGAAAGGTTGTAAAAAAGATATCTAATTAGCTAATGTAACATGTATTCACCCTTTAGAAAAGGTGTATGAGTTGATATAAATTTTTTCAAATCTAGTCCAATTTTATTTTTTAAGTACTTAAAAACAACCACAGCTGACCAAATTGCTGTACCTAAGAGAAAATAAACAAATAAATAAATAAAACAGTACAAACAAAAAAAACTAAATAGCTGAAAGAAAAAAAGCTGTAAAAATAACATTCACTTAATCAAATCTATAAAAGTGGGTAAAAGATCAGTGGAATAAAAGATAAATTTGATTTAAAAATATATTATATATATAAAAAATATTCTTGCTAGGTGTTAAAAGCCAAATAGAAAGGTGGGTTTTGACAAGAGGTTTAAAAATTTTCAGAGAAGAGGCCTGTCTGATGCACTAAGGCAGGTCATTTCAGTGCTTTGAAGCTGCAACAGGAGCAGCTGACCAGCGAGTAGGTCTATAAGGATGCAGAAGCACAGAGGGGCAGGGTGGGGCGAGCCAATTCAGGGATTTAAAAACAAATAAAAGCATTTTAACAAGAACTCTAAAACATATGGGCAGACAGTGGAGTGGGGCTAAAATGGGGAGATGTGATCATACTTCCATGTGCTGTTCAATGCACAGAGGGTATTGCAATAATCCAGCCTATTGGTAACAGAGGCATGGATTTCCATTTCTAACTGTGGACTTAAAAGAATTGGCTTAATTTTGGCCAGCTGTCTCAAACGATAAAAACTTGGTTTACTGTAACAACTGCCCTGAATTGGCTGGCACACTTCAGACCTGAAACCACTTTCAGTACCTCTGATTTAGTGATGATTGGTTTGATATGCTGGACCATAGAGCCCAGATTTATTTCAGTGGTGTTATCAAAGAACATCACTTCCATCTTTCTTTAATTAAAATGTAAAAAGTTCAGAGACATCCAGGACTTTATGTCATCAAGACACTTGATTAAAGGAATAGTACACCCAAAACATGATTAGCC